AGTTTTTTTAAACAACTTTTAGTGTTCCTGCTATCATCATTACATTGATAATAAAATGGGGCCTGGAGTTGCTTCATGTTTTAGGCAACCAAGCAAAAATGGTGCTATCTATTCAACATTAACTAATTTATGTGGGCTAGAGTGGTGCCTTGAGGGCTATGAAATAAGTACTTCTATTAATAGAGAACCTTACTTTACAGCTTGAATTAATAGGGAAAATGCTTTCTTTCTCTTATATTCTATATACATATTTATATATATTCGTTAAACCTTTACATTGCAGGAATTAACTATTATTCACTGTCTGGTAGGAAAAAAAATATATTATTATTTAGTACAATCAATGTACCCAAATGTTAGAAAAATTACACTCATATGTAGCATTTTCTTTTATTACTACGCTAGACTCATAAATTTTTATAACTTTTTCAATTACTTAAAAAAGGGTTTTCAGATTTTTGTTAGGAAAAAAAAATAGATAGTTTAAGCATAAAACAAAATTTAATTTTTCTACTAATTATTGAGTTTGAGATAAATCTGCTTCACCAATCCATATATTATTTATATTGTATATTTTATATTATACATTATGCCGCATTGTCTCATTTGCTTCAATTATTTAACCCAAGGGACCCTTCTTAACCTAATTCTCCAAGTCGAGATGGGAGCCATTTCGTCTTTTAGTGGGCCATCTCTTATTAGATCCAGTTATCAAGTATACAAAACAAACCAAAACTTCTGCAGCTTGCCAAGAAATAGCGTGTTTAATTTAGCAAACGATGTCGTTTTTTCACTCTTTTTCTTTAAAAGAGGGAATCAGGTATGAGTGATCAAATGATGTGTTTTCTGTAATAAATAAGTAGGAAATAGTATTGTTTGAACCTTTATAAAGTTACCAATTACTAGAACGACAACGGGTTTAACTGTCAAGATTGGACACCCAAAATATCCTTTTTGGTACGGTTATTCTTATTATTTATTGTTTGGGTGTATGGTGTATACGTATGTATTTATGTGAATATATATACATGTGGCCATAAGCGTATCTTAAAAGGGTCGGTGAAGGTTGGTCAGGTTTGGAAGTGGGAAGATGAAGATACGGTCATGGTCTGGTTCGAATTGGTGGGTAAACATAAATGTTTTGTTCAATGGGACAGCAAGATCTTCAACCTCACCTTGTATGATTTCAAATAATCTGGTCCACTTTAGTTGAATCATACACAACAAGAAAAAAAGAAAATAGTACCACAATTGCTCCAATGCATGTGAGAGGCATCAACCAACCATGAGTTCAAATGTACGTTAGGGTCCCATTCCCATGATAATTCCTCTTTTTAAATTTTCATGTATGGTATTTAAGAAAACATTTCTATTTGAAAAGGTTAATACCAAGTGTTGAATTAATAATTGTTAGCAAAGTTAGTATTCTAGTGAGTGTGTGTGTAAAGTTAACTTTATATTATCAGATTGGATGATTTAGATCACGGAATATTAATGAAAAAAAGTTAATTTGGAGATAATGTAGCATAAATTATTTTCTATAAAGAGTATACTATATTTTTACTTTATAAATTTTATTGGTTGATTTTTTACATAATTATTAATATAAATGATATTATTTTAATGTACTTATTAAATAAAATTACTTTTCTTTTTTTTTTTTTTTGTAATTTTTTAATACATATTGAGATCTTCATCATTTTGACAATATCTGATGACCTTGTTATTGGGGGAACAAGGGCACCCTTTGATGCCAAGTCCGGACAAGGCAAACAATTTAGGAGAAGGCAAGTTTTCTAAGGTAGTAAATGCAAAATCTTATTGGGGCGCATTTTGATGGTACGTGTCCAAGAATTAACAAAGAAAGTGGCCAAATAATTAATGTTAGAACTGCCCAATTCAATGCTCTCAGCTATCTAATTTCCCAATGAATCAGAGTAATTAAACTTGACAAATCGATTATATATAAAATTTCACAACCTAATTACATTCTTGATGAGAAAGATATTTTAGTCTTCTCTTAATTTTTTCTGTTTATTATTATTATTTTTTTTTTGGAAATGGGCTCTAGCATATTATAAGATTAAATTAATCTATTAAAATATTTAAAGTGTACTAAATCCCATGAGACCAGTAAATCATGGCTTCTGATCACAACAAGGTCATCGAAAAAGGCTCCAAAGAACTCAATTGGACCTAATATTATTTGTAGTCATTTTAAAAAGTAACATATTCCCCACAAAAGCAACAAAAGCTGATACATCAAAAAGAAAAAACAACAAAAGCTGAAAAAAGACGAGCATGTCATTATCAAAGGAGCAAAATTTCCAGAACCCAGAAATTGCAGAACAGCTACAAAATTCTCATTCGCGATAGCAGCTCAGGATTTGAAGGGGGAAAAGGTACTGAAAAAGAATATTGAAGGAAACGAATATTGTCTTCCCAATAATTACACGCCATAGAGAATCCATAAGCGTATGGAAATTTAAGGTTTCCTCGTAGCATTCACAATAAAACACAAGGCTATTGGCTATTGGGCTGCCGCCACTTTCCTCTTATCATATTTCTCAATCCCGATGAATGTAGGCTGATGAAATATCCATTTTCTGTAAACTTTATGTTCATTTTCAGTCATCAATGAAAATAATACTTAGATGTCTCGCCGGCACATATGACTTTGTACGGAACATCTCATGTGGAGCACAATATGTTACAAATGGTACTACTGTCTAGGTCTGAGTTTAGGTATTTACTTACTGCCCAACAACAGAAAAATAGTGAAGGGCATCAGGCCTACCCGGGTTTAGACTATTCTCATTTAAACAACATTTGCCAGATCCATTTGGTGCCTGCAAAACTCAGTGAGGTGGAAGTAAAAGAAGTGTGAAACTTTCTTTTGTCCTCAACAAGGATGATAGCTTATTTACCATTGTCAAGAAAATATATAAACAGAATAAAGCAAAGAAGAAAACACAAGTAGAAATCGCAAGGACGCGAGTTCCATAAACACAACCCTATTCCATTGGGAAAGTAAGTCTCTTAAGAAAGCAAATCTCAGAGAAAGCCAACAAACTAATTCAAATGTCCTTCACCCCCACCACCCCCCACCAAGAAAGAAAAAAAAGAAAAGAAAATTTAACATCCAAAATTATCCCAATATGCAACAGATTTCACCAATATTTGATTGGTTGTTCAGAAACTGGAGGACAAGAAAACCAAGTGAAATCCACTAAACAGATACAACCAATTTCCCGCACTGGATTGACCATGGATCAAGGGGGTCGCTGGCACCACTATAAACTGAGGCTACTAGAAGAACTCATACTAGTTCAGCAAACAAAGGCAAAAGATACCCTTTAGCACTCTTCACAGACGGTAAGCAGTAACTGAATCTGTATTAGTTGGGAAAATAACAGTTGATGAAAGTCATGTGGACAGTTAATAATAACATTTATACAGATTGTTCCAATCTTCTCCATTTAAATAGAACATCTGTAGCTATTGTAAAAACCGGCACCGACCCCCAAAAATCCAAAACCCATGTACCTACTTCTACAAGGCACTCTACCCATTTGACTAAGGTCATTACTTGCTCTCAGTAACTGGGAGGTATATGCCTTCAGCAGCCAACCATACATTATCAGCCTGCTTCTCTCTGACACCGCAAACCTATACAAGTAAATAAATGATTAGTAAGTTGTGAAGCAGGTCTAAGATGCATTATACAAATAAAAAGCTGGTTACAAAAACCAGAACACCTCAAATGAGCAATCTGACAGTTAATTTATTTGCTAATTAGTCATTCTCCAATTGCTTGAGAGTAATAGGAAATGAACTCCCTGCTATCTAGGATTTATGTCCAAGCATACATCCAACAATAAGGGAAGAATGCAACAAAAGGTCAAAAAGACATGACGAAAAAGATTGTGACTGCCGTAACTTTAGAGAACAACTGAAATAGCAATTTTAAACTCAGCATTACATATGCCTGCTGTAAATTTAAAGATATGGTTGCTTTAACATTAGCATTGCTGTAACATTAGCCTTTCTCACCTCTTGCTGTCCACCAGCTATCCGTTGGTATTTCTTGCCATGACTATGAAGATAGCCACCAGTGTCAATATGTTGAAGCCGAATTTTCTGGTCTTGCTTCCACATCTTCCCACTCCCTTCAATAAATAGCCTAAACACAAGTCCAAAGTGTAAGTACCAGACAAATGGAAGATCAAGACAGGCAGGATATGGACTTGGAACTTTAGGTCTTACCTCCAGAAGTCCCCAGTATCAGAATCTTTGTCACTCCCAAAGCAGCTAACCTACAGCAACCAGAATGTGGTTTGATTATCAATAAAGAACAATCTTAGGTAACGAGAACCAATCTAATCACTACAAGTTTTCAATATAAATGCGATAACAGCATTAGTAACAGATAAAAGCATGAAGTATCTATTTTTTGCAAGAAACAGAAAGCAATAAAATGCAAGCAAACTGAAAACCAAGTCATTTCCAAAGCAGCTAAATCCAAACCCAACTAAAATCTGACTTGCACTGTCAATAAAGATCAACACCACCCAACCAGTTTCAACCTCATGACTGCAGATTTCTCAGTATTAAATTTAATTTGAGCTCTAAGAAATCACTTATGTCACATAAGAAAAGATGAAAATCATAAACCAGTTTCTTAAGGAAACAGATTATGAAATGGAACGTTATGCTATGCCAGAAAAAACTGTAGAGGATCATCTCTCCACATGATATGCTTGTGATAGGTATATTCACAGGATGAAAGTGATCATGTGTGATTCACAAATTCAAGGTACAAGCTTCTAATCCTTCTCATTCAGAGGATTTTGGCTTCATTATTCCTAAACTACTATAGCATTGAAACGCATGCTTATGTTATTCTAGTAATATCAAGACTAACGACCTCTAGGTTGCCCGATATTGGGGAAGCATGCAGATGACTGTGTAGCCACTTCCTAGTCCTCATGTGCTGTAGCCGGATAATTGTTCCACTCTTAATGGTGTCTCCTTGTTTGGCAGATGTTCCTGGCTGAGGCCTAACAATCTGCAAATGAAAATTCCATTTCAAATTGCAAGACCAGATGTCTATGAAAAATACAAGTAGACTTATGGAATAATAAAAAGGAACCTATAGCATATGTCCCAAAACAAAAAGGAAAAGGCAAGAAAAATTATGCAACCAAAGCCAAGTTATAGATTAATGAACATAAAAGCATCCATTCAAGAAAAGTGAGATATAACTAATATATTTACTTCACAATACCTAGTGACCACTAGAAGGATTAAAGAATAACCAATACATATATAAAATACTATGTGCTTGAGATATGCAATATGATTAAGCTTCTGATCAAGAAGATTCAAGCAATTAAAAAACTGATATATATATAGGCGACAGAGGGAGAGAGAAAGTACCCAGTAGCTATTGGAATCATCAACGTTTGGAAAACCTGTAACTGATTGTTGCCCACTCCCAGAGCCATATGGGACATCATGAGAATGCAGCCTAAATTTTGTTCTCTCGTGCATCAGCTTAAGCACACTTCCATAGGTGATCTGCCATGTGAAAAATGAACCAGAAAACACATTGATACCATTGAAAACAAAGTTTCCCCGTATCAATTACCACATCAACTTTTGGTTTCCATTATCCTAACCATTCTCATTTGAATCCCAAACCTACAGGCTTACAGTTCATACAATCAATATTCTTTTCCTGCTCCCGATCTAACTTTCAATAAAGTACTAAAATTAAGTGCATACTCATCGTAGTACGCATACAAAAGCAAAGGATGAAACACTTAAATCAGGCATAACAATCTTTTCTCTCGTCTTAATTCATCTAGAAAAGCAATTGGTATACAGGTATAGACAGACGATAATGGGATAAATTAACAGACCTCAAACACCTTCGCTACTAGAAGCGGCAGGGGCGGATGAAACAGAGGCTTCTTCGACATCGGCGCTGAGGAAGAGGAAAATAGCGAGGCTAAAAAGTCCAATTGCCATTGCGAACAGCAACCCTATGAACCAGTTTTGCTGCCAAAATGGGAAATCTGGCTTCGAAACTCTCGATGTTGACTCCGCTTTACCCTTCCTATCGGGAGCTTGCGTCAAGAAGAGAAGAAAGTTCCTTCTGAAATGAATTGTGGGGGCTAAACGACGCCCCCCTGGAA